GAGAAAGCACGCCGCCAGGTCCAGGACTTGAACCGTGGTCAGTCATGTGGGAATCCAGTGCCTTTAACCACCACACCATCTGTCAGCCCCATATTTCTAAGGATTTTTAAAAATTAATTTATTTTTAACCTTTGCAATAAATTCTGCATGTTGTTATGCCTAAGTTTACTTAGTCATTACTTTATTGATTGACATTTAGATTGTTCACAGTTTCTCAATCTTATCAGTCACGTGGTAATGAATTCTTGAGCATACTTCCTTGTATTTCTCCATGATAGCTAGCGAAAAGTTATTATTTTTTTTTAATTAATAACTGTGCTTCTAACTGAGGAATAGAAATGTTATGAATTACAAATCTCATGCTAAAGGCAGAGAAGTCATTGTGGATATTGAAGAGATGAATTCACATATTCTGGGTGACATTAGAACCAAAATAGGAATGATTGTCATAATCTTTTATTAAACTATAGCCTGATGGTTTCAGACATATAAATTTGTTCCACCTTCTAACAAAGTGGTTAGCTTAAATACGTGTTTTTTCCTCCGTTGCTTTCATCTGGTAGAATCTAGCACAGTGGTGAGCTTATTTTGGGACCTGTTTCTGAGCCTATTTTGAGAGCTATTTTGGGTGTTTGCAGCTTCTATTGTACTGCTTCGGTTAGGTATGGAGAAAGCTCACCTGAAGCAGTTAGCAGTTTCTTAGAGCAACGCCTGCAAAGGTTCACTTACACACTAGTACCCGAAGGTCCTGGTTAATAGAGCTGATTCCTAGGCCATCCCTAGAGTGCATCAAATTCTCCTGGGACCAGGGTTCATGTCACCAAGTTCCCCAGGTAATTTGACACACATCTCATTTGAGAAACATTGTTTTAAGGCAACTATATTGATTTCAAGAGCCTGGATGAGCAACTCTCTGACAAACTATAAAAAGGAGAGGGTTTTTCAGGAAAGGAAAAAACTACTGCTGATAAAACTTTGAAAGACCCTTTTGCTACTTACTGAAGATTTTTACCTAAGTTTTAAAAAAATGTTTATTCATTTATTTATTTATTTGTGAGAAAGAGAAACAGGAATAGAGATGAGATGGAGAGAGAGAGAGACTTGTGCCCCCCTCCCCCCCGTAGGGTCTTCATGCCATAATCTGTCCCAAACTTCACCTAACCTGGATTACTGGTGCATGTGCACACCCTCCGTGTACAGGGATCTGGAGATATGTACTCAAGACTTCCTCACATGACTTCAACGTTGTAGGGCATTGTATTACTGCTACCATACCTCTGCTGGCCAGAAAATACTGTTCTGTTTATGTTAAGCCCTTGTTTACTTATGTCCTGTGTAACCTCTGGTGTTAATACCTAGTTATAAATAATTTATTTAGCCAGGCTTTTGATATGATTGATTTGTCTTCTGTTAAAAACTGGTAATTACATATAGTATTTCTGAAATGTTATATCTGTCTTTTTTCTTTCTTGCTAGGCTGCTCTTTATGGATGTGGCTGCTGGGCTGAAAATACTGGAGCTCATAATCCCTACTCCACAGCTGTGAGTACCTCAGGTATTTGCTGCTTTCATGACCCATTTTTCATAACGTTCACCTTGTCAGTCACTTACTGATGAAAAGCAATATTTTTAGGTAAACATAGAGCATATGCTAAGACATTGCATAGACAAAAGAGCACTGGTAAATGAAAGAACGTTAGTATTTGGGAGACCTTAAGGGTTGTTTAGTATCATAGTGTAATTGCTTTGTCAACATTTTTGATACAACTCTGGAGTTAACAATAGCTTACTTGTGTGTGTATATATATATATATATATATATATATATGTGTG